AAGTGCTAGCCAATCAAACCGCGTGCAAGCTGGGAGAGCCAGACCGCAGTTCATTTCCTCATATTCCAAACGAGAAATTACGGTAGCAAATCACCCGGTTCTTTACGACCAGAACTATTTACCGGGATACAAACCGGAGGAACCAGGCATGGAGGGAGGTGGCAGAGACAGTGGGTGAAACTGGTAGGTTTTCGCCTGTTTGGAGAGTTTATATCCAGTTTACTTCGTTTTAACATTGCTATTGCTTTGTATGTCGGGGGCGGGAGATTCATGTGATTGGTTGTTGGTCGCGTTGCTCGCAAAAAATCGCGAAGCTTCAGACACGCCCAGCTTCAAGATTTTTTGATGCCTGTAGTGTAGACGGGCCGTAAAGACTGGCAACCTTCTGTTCTCTTGCTTTCGAACGGCAGGCGAATGCTCACACTGGTGTTTCCTGTTAGAATTAGCATGTCTTAAGTCCCTTTTGTTTCCTGCTCCTCTGTATACATGACATTGCTTAGTCAGATGTTGGTACCATCTACTAGTGCAGGACCTCTGGCCTTTCCAGCTGATAACTCTATATTAAATAACACAACTTTGGTTTGAGCTTGTATATTTGTTCTTTTCTTAACAGAAGGTGATGAAGTGAGGAATTTCCACCACACTAAACAGCAGATAGATCGACTCACGTGGTCTGCTGGTGGAGGAAAGCATCTTTGTGCAGCCTGTAGGCCGTGTAGCTGTTGAAGGACCCCGGCTCCATGGAAACACCGGGAACCGAACCGTACATCTTCTCCGTCAGGTTGAACGCCTCCAGCATCCTGAAGCCTGGCACACAACAACGAGGAAAAGTCAGAGGACACTTTTAAAAAAGATATCAGGGGTTTTCTGCTTTGATTAATTTCCCAGATACAGGAAATATTCCCTCCCCTGTGGCTGCCAGGGAACTCACAGCTTCTGAGTTTATTTAAAATGTTTTAACCAGATTTCCCTGTTTACTCTCTCTCATGCATGAAAATGTAATCTAATCTACGTCATGTGTGCACTCACCAGGTGAAGTGAATCCATTCAGGTAAATCAGGGGACACGCTGTGGAACAACAAAAGCCAGACATTTAAGACAATTTACCACAAATTCAGACACTTTAAAAGCTGTTTCCAGGGTATTTTGTGAGAGGAAACGTTTTGCAAACTCACATGACGTTGCAGTTTCACAGATGAAGGTAATCAGGTTTTCCCTGATGGTGTCGAAGGCATCGAAGTCGTCCACAACGAAAACATGTCTGTCGCTCGGTTTGCTGCCGATCTCCTGCAGCTCCACGAAGTCCACGTCCGCCACACCGATGGAGAACACACTGTAACCTGCCGAGGAGGAAGAGGAAGAATATCATGAATAACAGAGCACGTTAAGAGGGTGGACGAACGTTGGATCCTCCCAGCTGTTCAGAGGTGGTACAAGTACACACATCTACTCAAGTAGAAGTACAGATACTCGTGTTTAAAAATACTCTGGTGAAAGTAGAAGTACTGACTAAACTTCTTTACTCAAGTCAAAGTAAAGAGGCTTTGAAATGTACTTCAGTAAAAAGTACCCATAACTAGCAGCTGTTTTAAAGAGTACCTGACCTCCCTTTATATTAATAGAACAATAATGTCATTGTTAGCTAATGAATGTTTCCATGCTGAACAACGGCAACATGACAACGTTTCCATTGGTCCCTCTTCTTTAGAGAAGACCAGGAAATGATGGATACACGGATCGTGTTCAAATCAATAGGCACGCAATGACTCTAAATAATAATGATCACGCCACCAAACACACATTCAGACTAAAGGAACCAGTCTGTTTGGGAAATGAGAGAAGAAGAAAGTACAGGTATTTGAGTTCAACATGTAAGAAGTAGAAAGTACAGGTATTTGAGTTCAACATGTAAGAAGTAGAAAGTACAGGTATTTGAGTTCAACATGTAAGAAGTAGAAAGTACAGGTATTTGGGTTCAACATGTAAGAAGTAGAAAGTACAGGTATTTGGGTTCAACATGTAAGAAGTAGAAAGTACAGGTATTTG